TCCACACACAGAAGAAACCAGGTGGATAAAGAAAGTCTGTTGTCCCAGCTAGGTGTCACAGTGGATAGAGCACTGGACCTGAATGAAGTCAGGAAGATTCATCTTCATGAGTTCAAAATCTGGCCTCAGACACTTATTAGCTTGCCTCAGTTCCTCATCTGTAAAATGAACTGGAGAAAGAAACACTAAACTACTCCAGTGTCTTTGCCAAGAAAACCCCAAATGGGGTCACAAAGAGTCAGACACAGCTGCAAAAAGAGTTAACAACATAGCATTGTCCCAACTATAACATACAGTTGAATGTGCATCCCATAGAGTGCATTCATTATCATATATATCTTCGGCAGACATTGCAATAGAATGATGAACTGATCCTAACATTGAATAGGAGGAATGTGGAAAGAGAGTGCTTCTGGAAGCTTATTTTAATGGCCTTGAGCTACTGCCTGCAACAAAGGCCCAACCTTTAAAACAAACAAACCATTTTCTGCCACTGATACGGTATGGCTACAAGTCACAAAATTCTAAAATTTTCAGAAAAAAAAGAATTGTTATTCCCTCAAAAGATAATGGGGACTTGTTTGATAGTGATAAGCAAGTGAAAACACATAAATTCTGCAAAAGAATGTTGTACAAAGGAATGGATACTTGGAAAAATAAGACACTCCTAGTCAAGTGTCCTTTCCATTACATTGTACACAAGGAGAAGGGGATGCTTAATTCTATTAGGTATTTTAATTAATCCATTCTCTCACTGATTTGGGTACTCTGATGCCGCAGATTGACACCCATCTATAACTTCTCATCTTATACAGCTTGTATTTATAACCCACCACAAATCCTTCCCAGGGAGTTCACCCAATTTTCTGGAAGCCTTCCCCTACGACTAGGTACTTGAACAGTATATAGGTACCAGAGCAACCTACAGACCAAGTATCTATTATCTTTTGCTCTCTCTACTTGACAGGCTCACCTGCTTTTCCAATCATATATCTCAGGTAATAGCTTTTATCACTAAGGATCATAGATTGGGATCTGGAAAGGACCACAGGGATCCTCTCATTTACAGATGAGGAAACTGAAATCCAGAAAGGTTAAGAATCTTATTCATAGTCACACAGGTAGGTAGTAAACCTCAGAAGTGGAATTTGAACTGAAGTACTCAGAGCTAGTGCTCCTTCTCCTGTCCCATAATGCCTCTTGTTGGTGATATTCTGAAGTCTACTTGCTCCCACTATGTGTCTCTCTATTGACTTTTGGGTCTTTCACAATTTTGATTCTTTGGAAATCATGCTCCTATATAATGATCAGAAGTATATAGTGTTAAAAGGATAAGGTTTGGCTTGAGGAAATAGCTTGGGGTCACTGAAAGTACTGGATCTTTTTCAGAAAAACAAAACTTCAGAATCCTTTTGGAATTAAATTCTCTTTTATACTCATTACACAATACCCTATGTTTGCCTTTTGGAACCTTTACAGAACAATAGAGATGGAAAGTCCACAGAATATTTTGGAACTCTTCATCGAAGCCTAAATATATTTTAAGGTTATCTACCTTATTAGCCATTAGAGGGAGAGGGATGGTGTTATCACCAATCCCTTACCCTGTACAGGTCTTGCTTTAAAAAAGGCAGCTGACAGGCAGGCTCTATTTGTTTGCTGGTCCTGGAAGAGGAATGTAGATGCTCTGTGGTACATTCCTTCTGTACTCCCTCCCTTCGGTTAAACATCCTGGATCTGGCAGGCCCAGAAAGCAAGGGACAAAAGGGACACCAAAACTGTCTGAACTGTGAATTTTCCAGTTCTTGTTGCTCCTTATCTTTTATCCTCTGCTTAAGGCAATGTAGGGGAAAAAAAAATTCTTTCACACTCCTCACTAGTTATTGGAAGATGTCAAATGAGGGGTTAAATTGGGGGGTGGGCTTTTTCTCTTCCCCCCCTGTTTTTTTTAAGTTTGGCTGTAGGTCCTTCTGCCTGCAGGCCAAAGTTACATTAGCAGTTGGAAATTGGATAACGACAGCACAATGACAAATCCAGGTTGCTTGCAATAAGGTGCTAATCCCTTTGCTTTAATATCGGAGCAGCGTGTAATGATGTTTGGACATCACTCCAGTTTACTGACGACCCCACTGGGGCCGGCAATAGAACCTTACAACTGTCTAACAAGGTGTCAGGTGACTCCCGTCGTCACAGCAACGGACACTGGAATCTAATCTTCCCTCCATCCCTTCCAGCACCCAATAACGCCTAGATTATATAAGTGGCCCATCATTGCTTGGTAACTCGAATCAATTAACGTTAATTCGCACAATGCTATGATGTATTGTGATCACTTTCATTTCAGGGAAGGGGGAGAAATTGCTATAAGTCACCTAAAATGAGGTTGTCTGTGGTGCTGAGGTATTAATTGGGTGTCCATATTAAATGGAAAAGGAGCACCATAGTGAAGGGAAAGTGGATGAGTGACTCTCCTGGCTGCTATTGACCTATCAGAAGAAGACAGTGCCCTTTTCCTTTGCTTTTATCTATTACAGTTTTCCCTATTGCGTGTCAAGTTGATGTATTATAAAAAATTCATTTGGTGACCTTTCACCCCCTTAGCAGATTAAACAATTTCACTTGGATGGCATCATTAACAGGACCCTGCATTTAATGATGATTTCTCTAAAAGGCCACGGAGATTCGATTTTAAGCTAACAGATTTATTGCACTATTATAACATATCGTAAAAAACTGTACCACCTACGGTCTGGTTTTAGGATAGAAACTGCTTAAGAGTTTATGTGGAGCTTAAAGTGGTATTACCTAGGGATATGCTGTAGCAGCAAGTCTCTGACCTCCAGTGAGATGCTGTTTACATTTAATAAGAGATGTTTGCTCACAATAAACTTAAAAGTGTGTCAGGAAAGGGGCTTTTAGCTAGTGCTCAGACATTTTTTCCCAGCTACTGGGTCTCTTGGTATCACTGATGATATGTCAGACTCTATGAAGGGGGGTTGTCAGATTTTCCTATCCTGATGGTTCCCTCTTACTTGCAGCTCTTCAGGGAAAGTATGCAAGGATTAGGTTAGGGGCAGAATTCAAACTGCAAAATGAATTTAGAATCTCCCAGCAGCCTGGGACTCATAGCAGAGAAAGTACAGTCAAGAGTAGAGATTGAGGAAACTAGGAGCAATGGTGATTATGGCTTACACTTTAACCTGGTTCATATTGGTTAATTAAAACAGAAAGCTGGCTTACCTACTTACCCTAAATATACTAATGAATGACAATTAGGACCAGTCTATGTAGCAGTATGATATTATGTTCAGTAGGATTCCCAGCCTGTATATAAAAATCAATAGGTAGCCCTCATAACCTTTTCTGCTAGATAGATCTCCAATCCAAGTATCACGACCATAACATATTCTACTCCAATTCCTTCCCTCTCCCGAACTTCCTTTCCTCTCCAGTTTACCTTTGGGAAAGGGAGAAAATTGACAGAAGCAAGCCCTTCTGCTCTGGGATTTAGTTGTCAGTACAGTACTTATCGTACTACCTCCGCTTACCTTTTAAGAAACTCAGATTTCTCCCCTCCTAGTCTCAGAGCTTTGGAGAAATGAAAATCTGCTCTTCCACACAAAATACTGAGGATCCTTAGTATATAGTAAGTGAATGATCATACCATTCACATCATTTCTTCTGGTTTATTTGTGTTTGGGAACAGTGTTCATTTTTAAGATCATAGCCTTATAAAAGCTATAACCTTTAGGCCCAGCTTTTTTGAGGTTTAATATGAAAGGGGCAACTTTAGCAATTAGAAATTCCTGAGTAATTCTTTTTTTATGCATATATTTATCCAGTTATTCATTAATTCAGTGAATTTTTTTTAAGTTTTATATTTAGACCATTTTGCTAAATACTGGAGGTGATACAAAGATGAGTTAGAGATGATCCTTACCCTCATGGAACTTCCCACCAAATATTAATAACATTAAAAATATGAAAATATTAATAATAATTCACATTTCTTTGGGGCTCTAAGGTTTACTAAATGCTCTGTTCCATTTTATCATTCCATTTATGCCAGTGGTTAATAAACTTCAGCTAGGTTCTCCCCAATGTGTGAGTAATTTCCTAGTACTAAGTAAATCAGTTCATTCATTAATTTATTCATTTCCTTATTCATTAGCCAACAAACATATATTGAATGTCCCTCACATGCAAAGCACTATGCTGGGTGCTAGGATGTGGGTAAAGGTGGAGGTGTATATTTACCTGGCTCTGTGTCTTTGTGCTTGTCGAGTTGAGCATGCCTATAGTTCTTTTCCTTCCTTTTTCTTTCCCATTATTAGCTATTGAATACTTGCTTTCAGAGCCCAGCATAAGTGCAGCTTTTTCTATGAAGCCTTCTCTTATCCCTCCATATTCTTCCCTCTTTCCCCCCTTCCCAATCTCTCCTTTCTTGTATCTCTCAGAGTATTTGGTACCTCTTTCTTCATTCAGATTGTAAGCCTCAGAGAGAAGGCACTTTGTCTTTTTTTTTTTTTATCTTTGTGTGACCTAGCGTCTGGCATATTGTATGTTTTAAACAAATATGTATTAAATGTAAGACATAGTCCTTTCCACCAAGAAGTGTGCAATCCTGAGATTCTGATTTTGTCCCTCTGTAGGAAGATTCTCTTCCAATAAATAGCAGCAGTGATAACTGATATTGGTCAGCAAAGTTTACAGAATCTATCAATCTATCAATCCATAGTTCTTTTTTTATAGTTGTTATTTATTTTTAAAATTTATCTAGGCTATTTTTTTTACTAAGTCTAAGAGATTCTATTGAGAAAAATACCAGTGATACTAGTTCAAGTTCACTGTCCTTTGTTCTGCTCAACCTTCAGACAAATTTTAATTTCTAAATTAGTGACATATATGCATAGTAAAGAGGATAGTGATTTCAGCAAAATTTGTTATCTCATGAATGCTTCTCTCCCCCTTTTTTTCCCTTTGTTTCCTCGATGGGAAAGAAACTCAAGCAGTCTCGATACTGGTGGTGTGGTATATAAACGACCATATACCCTTTCAATCCAAGTTCAGCCATCCAATGGAGAAGTGGGAATAGAGCTTCCAGTGCAACCACTCCTTGTTTTTCTGGATAAACAGGTAACCTTTTCTATAGGTGACTACCTTCTGAGGTTGGCAGCAAACATGCTGATTAACAGAGCAGCTCATTTAATTCTTTTTGTGTCTTACACTTCCGCATCAGTACAGGAACACATTTAGTGGATGCTTACCTTCTGAGCCCAAGGTGCTGCCTTTGTCTTTTGCATTTCTTAACTCCTTTCTCTGGTTAACTTTCAATTCCACATTTTTGCTTTCCAGCAGTCACCAAAAGACTGAAGAAACAACAATCTCAATGTGTTTGCTTTATGAGCAAGGGACAAACAAGGTAGTTTTGACCCTCCTCACAGTGAGCTTCCTACCTGTTCCACAAACAAGACACTCCATATCTTGGCTCGGGATATGTTCTCTGGCTGTCTCCCATACCTGGAATTCAGTTTCTCCTCACCTCTGCCGGTTGACTTCTCTGGCTTCCTCACCAGAGATGTTGACAAAGTGTATTTGATCATTTAGAACAGTTTATGAATACATGCACACATATATTTGTTCTAAGTGTCATTTTCATTAGTGTTTTTCCCCTTTTCTTTAAAATCACAAATGATGAGCTCTTCTAATTCCATTGGTAGCACCATGCCCCTTTTCTATTTCCTCCTTTCTCATCTCTCCTAGAACAATGAAAAAAAAATCTGCACTAATGAAATCACCTCTTCTTGCCCTTGAAAAAGCAAACAAGCACCCTTCCTATCTGGTTACAGTGAGCAGAAGGCAAGATGGCTGAGATAGACATCATAGATCTCCAGCTGGAAGGAACCAAAGAGGCCTAATTTAACCCCCTCATTTGACAGCTGATAAAGCTTAGGTCCAGAAATTTAAGTGACTTGCCCATAGTCACATTGGTAATTATCCAGAGGAAAGATATAATATTATACAATCCCATGCTGCCTCACTTCCTCTCCAGATTCCTTCCTCATTCCCTCATTCATTCTAATCGGCATACGAGGTGCTTATCTCTCACAAAACCTACTTTCTCCTGCTCCTTCTGATCATTCACCTTTCTCTTGAACTCTTCCAAATTACTTCCCCTCTAAAACAATCCATTCTCTTCCTCCCCCCAAAATCAGTTTTTTATGATGTGTATTAAATACTTGCTCGAGATTTTAGAGATCTGTGATTTTTGCCATGTTGGGTATTCCTCTTCCCTCCACTGACAGTGACCCTTCTATGACTTAGTAGACCATCATGAAGCAGACTACAGCTAAATATAGATTACTCTACAATCAACTTAGTCTTGAACCTATCTAAACCTAGACAGATTCATCCTTAGATGGCACAAAGGGTCCATTAATGCACCTGTACTTTTGTTTTCCAACTTGCTAGGATCTTTGAGGACTTAAATTCTCTTGGCAAGACCTTTGCGACTCCAGGGTCATCTCTATAGCACAATGAGGCACTGAGATAGAACATTAGTAGAGGGAAGGAAAACAAGCATTTATTAAGCCCTACTACGTGCCAGCTACTGTGCAAGGCACTTAAAAAAATTTTATGTCATTTGATCCTCACAACAATCCTGGGAGATAGGTGTTATTATTATGCACATTTTATATTTGAGGAAATTGGGGCAGAGGTTAAGTGGCTTGCCCAGGGTCACATGAGTAGTAAGTGTCTGAAGCCAGATTTGAACTCAGGTCTTCCTGACTTCATACTCAGTGCTCTATCCACTTTAACACCTTGCTACCTAACAATAATATGTTGCATTTATATAGCACTTTGAGGTTTGCAAAGCACTTTACACAGAGGTTACAGTAAACACAAAAACGAAAACATGTATGACATTGAAGGAAGCAGCACGGTATGATGGAAGGATGCCTAGCTCTGAAATTAGAGGACTTTGCTTCAAACTTGCCTCTGGTGCTTCTTACATATGTGACCTGTGTCATATCAACTCCTTGGCCTCATTTTCTGTGTCTGTAAAGTGAGGTATTGGACTAGATAGATGGGCCTCTGAAGTCTCCTTCAACTCCATCTATGATCCTATATTTGGTTGGTGTCCTGGAAAATAAATGTTTCAAAATCCTTTCATAGTCTCTCCCCAGATCTCTTCTAAACTCTTTTCATTTTCCTTTCTAGGGATGGGTAGTAGAATCATTAGGACCTCCCTCAGAGCCTTGGATTGTGGCTGTTTCTCTGGAGGGGGCATCAGAAACTGTATTGAAAGGTATGGCATTGCTTGTATAGATCTGTAGTTTGTACATCTTTTTTAAAAATTGTCTTACCTGCATGTGGTGTTACCCACATATAGTTTCTCTTGCTGAGAAAGGGAGGGAGGGTAAAGCTGGTGGATTTTTCACCTTGGGAGTTCTGAGCTACAACAGGGCTAAAGTTCCTATATTAAGTCTGACGCCAGCATGGTGAGTTCATGGGAATGAGGATAAAGGGTAGGGCACCAGCCTGCTTAAGGAAAAGCAAACTGGTCCATGTCAAAAAAGAGCAATTTAAAACTTCCATGTAAATCAGCTCTAGGATTAGGCTTGTGAGTGGCTACTAACAGCCTAGGCAAAATGGGGAGACTCAGATGAAAGACTGACAGAGAGACAGAGAAATAAAGGAAGGAAGGAAGAGAGAGAGAAGGAGAGAGGGAAAGAGGGAGGGAAGGAGGAAGGGAAGAAGGAGGGAAGAGAGAGAAGGAAGGGAGGAAGGAAGGAAGAAAGGAAGGAAGGAAGGAAGGAAGGAAGGAAGGAAGGAAGGAAGGAAGGAAGGAAGGAAGGAAGGAAGGAAGGGAGAGGAGAAGAAAAATCCACTTTCTCCCTTAAATGGTTAGGAAAAAGTTTTGAGGGTATTCTTATAACTCTCAATTTATCTTTGGTCACAAAGAATTATGATTAGAGAGGTCAAAGACAAAGAGAAAGGTCTCATACATACAAAATAATTATAGCAGTACTTGAGCAAGAAACTAGAACCAAAATGGGTGCCCATCAGTTGAAGAAAGACTAAAATTTTTTTTGACATTTTAATTCAATAGAACATTATTTAAAACAGAAAAAAAAATATGAAGAATTCAAAGAGAAAAAAAATTACTTGGGAAGACTTGTGTGAGTTGATGTAAAACTAAGAAAGCAATTTACTCAATGACCACAATAATGCAAAGGAAAACAACACTAAAATACATGCACTCCAGAGGATGAATGATGAAACATAGCCTTTTCCTCCTCAAAGCTACTAAAATATTTTTCTGAATTGCAAGTCTGATCATGTTACTCCCCCACCCCCAACTCAACAAACTCTGGCTCCCTATTGCCTCCAGGGTCAAATACAAAATGCTCTGTTTGGCATGCAAAGCCCTTTATAACCAAGCCCTCCCCTGCCTTTCCAGTCTTCTTACACCTTCCTCCCCATCATATATGCACTCTTTGATCCAGTGACGCTGGCTTCCAACCTGTTCCACAAACAAGAGACTCCACGTCTTGGCTCAGGATGTGTTCTCTGGCCTTCTCCCATGCCTGGAATTCAATTTCTCCTCACCTCTGCCTGTTGACTTCTCTGGCTTCCTCTGAGTCCCAAATAAAATCCCATCTTTTATAGTCAGTCTTTCCCAACCCTTTTTAATTCTGGTGCTTCCCCTCTTTTAATAATTTCCTACTTATCCTGTATATAGCTTGCTTTCTATTTGTTTGTTTACGTGTGCCTCTCTTCTCCATTAGATTGTAAAACCTTTGAGGATAGGGGCTATTTTGCCTCTTTTGGTATTCCTAGTGATTAGCACAGTGTAGAACATAGTAGGCACTGAATAAATGTTTGATGATTGATTTATAGCCTGACTGACATTAGATAGATTATGAACTACAGATTTCCCATGAGGCATACTCTGTTAGACTTGGTTCATATGTCAGTTTGTTGTCCTGAAGTATATATCTTTGTTTTAACAGAGGAATTTATTGAAGTTTGGTATTAGGAAATGAAAGGCAGCTCAGTGAGCAATGGATAGTGTCAGGCATAGAATCAGGTAGCCTCAGACACTCACTAGCTATGTGACCCTGAGCAAGTGTCACTTAACCCTGTTTGCCTCAGTTTCCTCAACTGTAAAATGACCTGGAGAAGGAAATGACAAACTATTCTAGTATCTTTGCCAAGAAAACCCCAAAAAGGGTTACAAATAGTCAGACATGACTGAACAACAATAACAAATTAGGAAATGACAATGACATAATTCTCTTCTTTTAAAGCATTAACAAAACATTTTGGAGCCTTAGAAGTATTTTACACAGTAGCTCATCACTGCGTCAGAACTATATAGTCTTGTTGGCTAAATCATGGATCGGAAACACTGAAGCCTTGAGTTTTAATCCTCTTTATGCTATTGGTTTGCTGTAACGAGCAAGTCACTTTACCTTAATCATTTTCTTCACCTAATCAATGCTGATAACACTATTTATAACATCTCATTTGGTAATGGAGAGCTTTGATTAAAATAAGATAATATGTTTGTGATTTAAGTGTACTCAGGAGGAAGAGAATGCAGGGACCCAAGCAACATTTCTTTACCATCCAACCTAAGGGCTTTCCCTTATCATGTATGCTTCCTGCAGAATGATGACCAGTAATTGTAATTGCCTAGAGAAACTGAGTAGCTTAATTCCACTGGCTGAGGTAGTTGAGGTGTGGAATGTGAATAAAACCACTTAAGAGACTAATATTCTGAAGAATAGAAACAGGGATCTCTCTTAGCAGCACACTTCAAAAAGTGCCTCAAAACAACAACCAAAAATAAAACCGCAAAACAAAAAAACCTTACAGTTCACTACTGAGATACTAGAAAGAAGAAACTCAGTACATACATTTTATCTTGCATATGAATTCTTGAATTCTGCTGGGTTCATGCTATTTTGTGGAAGAAAAGTTTACATAGTTCTTTTAAATATACACACTTGCTAATATTGGTTCAGGTGTGATCTCTGAATTAAAAACTGCTGCAGAATCTGGATGTAATCCTGAGATTATAAACACGTGTTTCCTTTTTTGTGGCTAAAAAGGAAAAAAAAAAAGAATAGCATTCTATATGCATGAATTAAAGTGTAATGAGCCATTGTTGATATAACGTTCCTAAACAATGATGGGAAGGAACAGGGAAACCCTATATTATAAATTTGAACCTTTTAATTTCCCTTTATTTTAGAAAAATTGGCTCTTTGCATACAACTTTTTTTTTTATGTTATGGTGATCCTGCCTTCTATAGAACAGGTGTCAGTAGAATGAAAGATAGGCCCAATACTAATCATGTAAAACTTTTAATAGGGGTAGCCAGGTGGTGCAGTGGGGTTTAGAGTCAGGAAGACTTATCTTCCTGAGTTCAAAAGTGGCCTCAGACACTTGTAAGTAAACAAGCTGTGTGACCCTAGGCAAATCACTTTACCCTGTTTGCCTCAGTTTCCTCATCTGTAAAATGAGCTGGAGAAGGAAATGGCAAACCAATACAGTATCTTTGCCTAGAAAGTCTCAAATGGGGGCACAAAGAGTCAGACATGATTTAACAACACATAATAACAGTTGTGACTAATAATTATATTTCTGCAAAGTAATCCTGCTCAGATATGGAGATGTTTTCAGAGCCAAGATAGTTGGTCCTGACTCCAGGTTAGGCAGGTTATGTGTAATCCCGTCTTAAAGAGGCACCAGTTCTCCTATTTTTCTAACTTGTCCTGTCTCCTTATTGTATTCCTATTCTTCGATTCCACCCCTGGCTGTACTCTCAGTGCTGGTAAGTGAACCCTTTGCCTTATCTTCCAGAGAACCAAGCTTCCAGATCACTTCCTGCAATCTCCTTGCCATTCCATTTTCCAACACGTCTTGTCTCCTCCATTAGAATGAAAGCTGTTTCAGGCTGGGTACTGCCCTGTGTTCTTTTATTGTCTCCCTAGTACTTATCACAGTGTCCGACACATAGTAATTTTTTTAATGCTTTTCCTGCCTAGCATCAAAAAGTGATATTAGATAAATACATCTAAAATGTATAAAGAACTTTGTCAAATCTACAAGAACATGAGTCATAAATGGTCAAAGGATATGAGTAGGCAGTTTTCCAGTGAAGAAATCAAAACAATTTATAGTCATATTAAAAATGTTCTAAATCATTATTGGTTAGAGAAATGCAGATTAAAACAACCTTCGATATCATTTTACACCTACCAGATTGGCTAAAATGATAGAAGGGGAAAGTGACAAATGTTGGAGAGAATATGGAAAGATTAGGACACATTCATTATTTGCGAAATTGTGGACTGATGCAACCATTTTGGAGAGCAATCTGGAATTATAGGCAAAGAGCTACTAAACCTTGTATACCCTTTGATCCAACAATACCACTACTTGGTCTATGTCCAAAAATAATTAGGAAAAAAGGTAAAGAACTTGTATGTTCTAAAATGTTTGTAGCAGCTCTCTTTGTGGTGGCAAAGAACTAGAAATCACAGGGATGCCCATCAATTGGGGAATGTCTTAACAAGTGGTTGTACATGATGGTGAAAGAATATTACTATGCTATAAGAAATGATGAGCTTGATGATTTTAGAGAAAATGTGGAAAGACTTTCACGAAATAATGAAGAACAAAATGAGCAGAACCCAAGAGAACATCGTGTACACTAACAGCCTTATTGTTTTAAGATCAACTTTGAGCAAATAAATTATTTTGTTTATTATAAAAACCCAAATTAATTATAAAGGACATGCGAAGACACTATCTGCATGCAGAGAAAGAACTGATAAATAGAAGTATAATAGAATAACTGTATACATATATGCCTATTTGTGTCTAATGGTAGCCATCTCTAGGGCAGGGAAGTGGAAGAGAAGAAAAAAAAGAAATTTACAAAAGAATTTTACTGCATATTTGAAAGTAATCACAAATTGTACATCATAGATTTGCAGTTTCATGTGTAATTATCTTTTTTTATTTTATTATGTTACAGAAATGCTTATTTTATTCCATAAACTAAAAAGAAAAGAAAAAGAATTAAGTGACTATCTAACACATATCTTCTAATAGATTTCAATTTTTTGTGTGTGTGTTTATCACAGATCAAGGACACTTCAAAATTGCATCACTAATAGAACCAAGTCAGTGTTGACATTTCATTTGACCTTTATATTTTTCTAAAATTGGGCCAGGCTAGTCTGCCCCATCAAAGATAGACGTGTCTGTCTTTGAAACATTCCAAATAT